TTAGAAATTGCTAAGTCATTATAGGTATTACCATGCCTCAAAAATAAATTATTATATAATATTTCCTGCATAACATATGTCAGGGTAATTTTGTTGTAAGTTGGCAAGTGTGTTTATTATATTCTGTTAGGCACGTAGCCATTACCCAGCCACCAGATTTTGAAAGTGTCCCTTCCTCCTCTTGTCTGTCCCTGGTTCATTTTCCACCGTGCTCTCCTAGTTTCCATTTCTCTCTCCTTTCTCCTCCTTTCCTGACCTGCCCGGCCTCCATCGTGCGTTTTCCCCTTCCTCTCATCCTGTCTTTTCTCCGTCAGCTGTGCCTCCTTAGTTTCTTCATCTTCCTTCCCCTTCTCACTTCTCTATTTCTCCACCAGCACTGGAGTCAGTAGGCCTGAGTTTAGTCTTATTAACCTGTTACCTCAAGCAAGTTTCCCTCCCATCTCATCAGTAAACACAGACAATCCGACTAACTCACGGGATCACTAGGAAAACTAAATCAAGCCTCACCTAGAAAGAAATGAGCATGATGCCTCCTGTCACAAAGTCAGTACACTAGAAAGGAAAGCAATTATTCTTTTTACTTTTCTTAAGATGTATGTTTCACTCTCCACGTGTAGAAAACTCCTATCAACTTTGAGAGCCATCTCCTCCCTCTACTGACACGCTATCATCAAACACTTCTCAGGTACCTACTGGGTATCCAACCCGGGCTGGGCACAAGGGAGCCAGCCCTCCTTGCCTTTCAAAAGCCTGCAGTCTAGGGGAAGTGAGAACAGACAGGCAGATGAAAGACATGAGAACAGCCAGGGCTGGGCTATGGGAGAAAGAAGGACAGAAAACGATGGAGGCAGAGGGAAGGGTGTCACCAAGCCTACTTCGCAGAGTCAGTAAGGCCTCATAAATGGTGACTCAGAGTTGAGTTTCAGTCCTGCGGATAGGAAAAGAAAAATTTGCTAAATCAAACAAGGTAAAGAAATACCAAGTGGTGTGAAGGGGAAAGGAAGGATTGGGAAACAGTGACAATCATGGCAACCCGATCATAGGGGCCACCTGGTCACAGGGGCATGTGGAGTGTGGGGGCTGGCAAAGCAGGTTAGCTGTGGATTCTGAAGGTGTTGTCCTCATCATCACTACTGTTCACTGGGTACCTGGCCTTGTACCAAGCACTTGCCAAGTATTAGCTCATTTAATCTTCACCAAGACTCTATGGCAGGAACTACTGTGATCCCTGTTTTATAGATGAGGTGACACAGAGCTTTGCTGTGGTCATGGGGAGACAGAGAGGTGTCTAAATAGAACGGCGTGATTAGAATACAACCCCTCATCCACGGTCTATGATCTCTCTGCTAGTCCACGCTGTTCGAGATTTTAGAAATATCATTCTCACAGTGAGTCCTGGCACAGAAAGAGATGGGGGTACAAGGACAACTGGGAAGTGGAGCTGAATTCTACCAATGTTTCTGCAGGCAAATTGCCAGTATTTACAAACAGTCTGTGTGTTGGTGTGCAGGACAGGAGATACCTACAGTGACTTCTAGGTTTTTGCCTGGGAACACTGAGGGAATAGAGGTGCCATTAATGAAGATGACAACTACAGCAGTGAAGGGAGAAGGGGAGAAGGTGGGAGGGAAGGAGCAGGATTTGGGAGAAGAGAATAATAAATTCACTTTACACATTATGGGCTTGAAATGACTCTTGATCATTGAAAATATCTTCAGCACTAAATAGAAAAGACAGATTTGTAGACTCAAAATAATCAATGTATAAGGAAGCATTGAGTCATGGGGAATGAATGATCTGCCCCAGAAAGAACAAAAATAAAGAGAAATGAGAAGATGACAGAAGGTGAGGATGAGTCAATAAAAGGACAAGGACAGAGCTCTAGGGAACACTCAAAGGAAAGGCCAGAGAAGGATCTGTTGAAATGAAATTCTGCAGCCTTCCCACTGTGCCCTCTTTCTCTAGGCTCAAAGCACAGTGCCCAGCACAGAGTAGATGCTCAATAAACTTTTTTTTTTTTTGAGACAGAGTCTCACTATATTGCCCTTGGTAGAGTGCCCTAGCGTCATAGTTTACAACAATCTCAAATTCTTGGGTTCAAGCGATTCCCTTGCCTCAGCCTCCTGAGTAGCTAGGACTACAGGCACCTGCCACAACACCTAGCTATTTTTTCAGAGAGGTCATCTTGCTCTTGCTCAGGCTGCTCTCGAACCATGAGCTCAGGTAATCCACCCACCTCAGCCTCCCAGAGTGCCAGGATTACAGGCGTGAGCTACGGGACCAGCCAACAAACTTTAGTTGAGTAAATAAAAGGAGTGAAGAAAGAAAGGCCACCCCAAAGTCAGAAAGGAACGTGTTTCCAAAAACATAGTGGTCAATAATATTTAATATTTAGTTAGAAAAGATATCTTCTTTGATAGATTTTCATGAGAAATCCTGAAAACAAATACTGGCTTGTAGTCTCTATGCCATACAAACATCTAGAGCAGTGATTTCTAGCCATTGAGGTGTGCCCTGAGAGGATCTTAGGTGTGCTGCAAAAATTTCAAACATCATTAATTAAATTATTTTTGAAAGAAGCTGAAAGCACAGTAAGTATATTCTTTTTCTTACTCTTTTTTTGATCAACATAATTAAACATGGACCGCAGAAGTTTAACTATAGGTTCCAGTGTGCCGAGAGATAAAGGTTGAAAAACACTGATATACATTAAGTTTTATTTCCAGAGGAGCTACAATGTCCAATTTACTTTTAAAGGGTTAAGTCTTTTTCTAGGAAATGAAAATTTCTAATTTGCCACAGATCAACAAAATAAAATCTTCCTGTGCACAAAACAATCCTCCAGAGGCACAAAAAAAAAAAAAAAAAAAAACCAAAAATCTCACTTGGTTCTTCATTTTTAAAGATTATGCATGGTAAGACAATATAAAGGCACAAAATAGATATAAATATAGGTTAAAAGAAATCATTCTCATTCTAAGGTCCTTCAAAAAACTAAAAATATTTCCTTTTTTGAACCACTTTGGCCAAAAAAAGAAACTAAAAACAGATCTACTGTATGATACCGCAATCTCACTGCTAGGTATATATCCAAAAGAAAGGAAATGAGTATTTCAAAAACATAGGTGCACTCCCATGTTCACTGTAGCATTATTCACAACAGCCAAGATATGGAAGCCAACGGTGTCCATCAATGAATGAATGAATTTATAAAACGTGGCACATGTGCCCAACAGAATATTATTAAACCATAAAAAAGAATGAGTTCTGTCACTGACAGCAACATGGTTGGAACTGGAGAATATTACATAAAGTGAAATAAGCCAGGCACAGAAAGAGAAGCATTACATGTTGTCATTCATATGTGGGACCTAAAACAGTTGATTTCATGAAGGTACAGAATGGAATGGTGGTTACCAGAGGTTGGGAAAGGAGGATAAAGAAAGGCTGATAAATAGGTGCAAAAATACAGTTCGATAGAAGGAATAGGCCGTAGTGTTCCATACCACGGTAGGGTGACAATAATTCATTGTATATTTCAAAATAGCTAGAAGAGAAGATTTGGAATATTCCCACCAGAAAGAAATAATAAGTGTTTTTGAGGTGATAGATATTCCAATTACTGTGATTTGATCATTACATATTGTATGTATGTATCAAAATGTCACAGGTACCCTGTATATATGTATAATTGTTATATATCAATTTTTACCTTAAAAAAATTAAAAACAAAGTTTAAGAAGAAACCACACTGACTTTACATTTTGTACTAAAGGCCAGCGTGGAGCAGAAGAGAAGGATTGCTTCCCAGGCAGGGGTGTTGGGAATCCCCCATGAAAACCTCCACTTTCTTCCCACCTTTCTACTAAGCCTTCTACCCCCAATTAATGTTTGTCACCAGTTTTCCTTTTTCTTCACAATAGCTAATTGTTAACCAGGGACCTGAGACACCCTCGTGCCTATCAACAAAACAGCTAGAAGGATAAATTTTTCTATTCAGGCAAATCTCAGCACTGAAGATATAAGCCCTCAAGCCTCAGGGAGAGAGTTCAGTGCAAATGATTTGTGTCTAAAGCATGAGTTAGTCAAATAACAAACAATATCTTGAATATGTGTACTAGATACAAACCCCCTGAAAAAAATAAAACCAACTACTACCAAAGGAAGTGACAAGGACCCACAACTGGAGAAGAAATGGACGTGTATGCTATGCAGTCATTTACCAGGTATGGTAGCAGAATTTTTTAAAAGTCGAATTTCAAACAAAAAAGAAAGAAAAGGTCTTATCTCCCATTCCCAATTCATTTCCCCCAAATTTATATTTTACCAAGAAGAGGATGTTTGCTAAACCATAGCCACCTAGATGAAAACAGTGAAACAAAACAGGAATGTGAAAAAAAGAAACAGAAAGTCCCGGCCAGCCCAGAACTACTGATCCCACTGAGCATCCAGTGTCCTCTGCCTACTCACCTCAACCTGCACCTAACCCTCTCCTCCAAAAGGGAGACTTCCCCAGCCATGCAGGAGGATCACACAGGTAGCCATTCCATGACCATTTCAAGGAGAAAAGCCAGGCTATTCTGAAAGCTCTTGTAATTACACAGAAAACACACTTAGGTCTCTAGGGGGCATTCTTGAAAACCTGAGATCAACTCCCGGAAAAACACTGCTGACCACTTACCACTACCGGAAGCTGCTAGACGGCAATCAGAATCGGCATCTCCTCAGAAAAAGAGAAAGGCGGTGCCGAGAAAACAGCTTCACTATCAGGGAGGAACTGAGGGAGAAAAACTCTCCTGGAAAAGTACGAAAGCCTTGAGAGCCTCTTGTTGGGTCGTGGCTGCTCCTGCTGCCAGGGCAGAACTGGTTAATCTTGGAGAAACAGAAGGAAGGTCCCCGGAGGCCGGCTGCTGGAGGCTGGCTTCCTCGGTGGGAGTCAGTTCGGAAGGAGGCAAGTGAACCGCGGAAGGGGACACGGGAGTGTGTCTAGGTGTACTTACCCAACTCTGGCCAGCCCTCTACTGCGATAAGCAAACATCTTTGGAGTTCCCACCTGTTCTCCCAGAGATGAAGGAATCAACAGTGTTTTGGGGGTTTTTTAAATCCCCACAGGGGAGTTCAGCTCTCTCCTGGAAGAAAGCGAAGCACACCCAAGCAACCCTGAATATGCAAAGCAACGACACTTCTTTCCCAACATCCTTAATTTCAGCACAGAGGAAGCCACATTAACCCTGAAGACACCAAGAACGCGTGCACACAGGAAATGGATTTAAGGTTTTTAGATTGAAATCGCTTTAAAGAGGCTTTGGTTTTTAAGGCAGGATTAGATGCAAACAAAATATTTGGATTCGTGTCTATTTTTAAAAAGAAGGATATGGCTTCTTTTAAATATTCCTAAAGTCAGTTAGAGATTTTCCAGAAGTCACATCAGATTTGCCACTGAAGGACTGAAATCCAGAATGTTTTAATTGTGCCTCCACCACCAGAGCAAGGGCCCTCAGGTTTTCATGGGGAGCCAGAGACAGAAACGAGGGCCTTTTCCTACCACGGTTCCCCAGTAACAAGAAACTACAGGAAGCAAGATTAAAGACTTTCTTACATAAAAAATAAGGCCAAGAACAGCTGAAAGAAGGAAACAATCACTTCCTTAAAATATTTAAAATAAAAAAAGTCTTTTTCACGAAAAAAATACAGCCTTTATATCATTTTTAAACCTACTATATGGCTCGGCGCCTGTGGCTCAAGTGGCTAAGGCGCCAGCCATATACACCTAAAGTGGTGGGTTCAAATCCAGCCTGGGCCCGCCAAACAACAATGATGGCTGCAACCAAAAAATAGCCGGGCATTGTGGC